GTGGTGGTTTAACCCCAACTGGCAACTAAGCCCCATGCAGCTACTCACTTACTCCCCCCAACAGGATGGGGAAGAGAATCAGAAGGGTAAAAATGAGAAAACACATGGGTTGAGATGAACACAGTTTAATAGGAAAAGCAAAAGCTGCACATGCAAGCAGAGCAAAACAAGGAATTCATTCACCACTTCCCACTGCAGGCAGGTATTCAGCCATCTCCAGGAAAACAGGGCTCCATCACACATTGCAGTTACTTGGGAGGATAAATGCCATTACTCTCAATGTCCCTCTTTTCCTTTTCCCCCATGTTTATATGCTGAGCATGACCTCATATGGTGTGGGGTCAGTTGTCCTGCTTGTGTCCCCTCCCAACACCTTGTGCACTCCCAGCCTCCTCGCTGGTGGGGTGAGGAGCAGAAGAGGCCTTGACTCTGTGTAAGTACTGCTCAGCATGGACACACATCCCTGCGTTATCAACACTGTTTTCAGCACAAACCCACAACATCACACCATACCAGCTACTGTGGAGAAAATTAACTCTACCCCAGCCAAAACCATCGTGGGAGGGGGGTGTTAATCTCAGTTAAATTTAGCTGTGTAAAAGGTTGTTTTCTAATATAATCTGGTAATCCTGACTCCTCATCTACTCAGTGGAGGGCGACAAGTATTTAATTAATATTTGCAATAATAAAACAATAATACAAGCAATTAATTTTACTAAGTTTAGGACAGAGTTGCTCTTTTTTTTTTCTTTTCTTTTCTGGCATCAGTCATTGCTCTCAAGATACTGACCTGAGTCTACATGCATAAGTTTTAGACAGTTAAATGTGTCATCAGCCAAGAGCTCAATTCAGTCATTTTAAATGCTTACAGTATTCGAGTGTACTTGTTAAAGCTGATGACTTGGGGATCTGGAGGTGTTACAAGAAGTATTACTATGCCCTAGTTTTCATAGGTAAATATTGTTTGGTGTGTTTACTTAAATAGCAGTAAACACACTTATGGTGGTAAGTCTGCTGCATAAAATGAGCTTTAGAAACCTGGCCTTGGGTATACTTTTGTTTGATATTTTACTGCCTGACTTGCCCTCAAGCTGCTC